GGCAGCAAGCTTCTTGCAGGGCCAGTGAGATGTGCTTAAGACATAGCCTCACCTTGAAACCAAAAGATATGACGTAAGATGGGATCCCAGGCTTTATAGTTCTGTGCTGCTCAGTGGAGGAATTCCCTGAAGACAGTGGGGACCAAGAAGAAGTGTTCCTTGGGTGACAGTGATCGGAGGGCAACGATTAGAGGATCACATTGTCACAATCATCCCAGCAGTACAAACCAAGATTTGCAGAAAGGAAAGGGAATGAGAAATGATCTTAGGATGCTTCAAACATGAAGATGTGTTCTCTTGAGCTCAGGACCGATTCCCGTGTGCAGGGGAGAGGTCCCTAGAGCCCTTGGATGCTTTTAATGATCCCTGAAGGTTGTTGCTGTCATCCACTCACCCAGCGCGGTCCTCTATCTGACCAGCTCCTTCTGTATGGTTCCTCCTCCACACACAGGCAACAGCCTTCCTGGCGCTCTCATCATCTCGCACCCTCTCTGTGAGGATAATCCACTCCTGGCTGAATCTCTGCCTCACTTCTCCTCCTACGCCTGCACGCAAGCACTCTGCAGAGCTGAGGAGAGCCATCTCAGCAGGTCTCACTTTAGGCTTGTGATGTTCCATCTCAAGTGGGCCCCCAAGGGCTGCCTGGCAGGCCCACACTGCCTTCCCCCCAGGATTCACTCACCCACTCTCCACGGTGATTGCTTCACACTTTGTCCTCTAACCACCAGGATTTCTTTATTCATTTTTATTTTTTTTTCAAGTGTAAGACTATAAAGAAATCTGAAGGTAACTGGCACAGATTGCCTTCACCACATCTGCACGTCTTTCACATCTCTGCCTGCTTCCAGTTCTTTTCCTCCTCCTGCAGTGGAGGATGTCCCTGGGCCAGCCCTGCCCTGGCTGGCTTCGTGACCCTCTGCTGGGATGTTGCTGGGCCAGCCCTGCCCTGGCTTCGTGACCCTCTGCTGGGATGTTGCTGGGCCAGTCCTGCCCTGGCTTCGTGACCCTCTGCTGGGATGTTGCTGGGCCAGCCCTGCCCTGGCTTCGTGACCCTCTGCTGGGATGTTGCTGGGCCAGTCCTGCCCTGCCCTGGCTTCGTGACCCTCTGCTGGGATGTTGCTGGGCCAGCCCTGCCCTGGCTGGCTTCGTGACCCTCTGCTGGGATGTTGCTGGGCCAGCCCTGCCCTGGCTTCGTGACCCTCTGCTGGGATGTTGCTGGGCCAGCCCTGCCCTGGCTGGCTTCGTGACCCTCTGCTGGGATGTTGCTGGGCCAGCCCTGCCCTGGCTTCGTGACCCTCTGCTGGGATGTTGCTGGGCCAGTCCTGCCCTGGCTTCGTGACCCTCTGCTGGGATGTTGCTGGGCCAGTCCTGCCCTGGCTTCACGTCCCTCAGCTTTGTCCTCATGTCCTTGTTCTCTTATTCAGTCAACTCTTATTCAGTCAACTTTTTGTAAGAATTTTCTGTAGTTGCTACATCTACTTATTTTGTTTTTAAAAGATTTATTTTTATTGGAAAGGCGGATATACAGAGAGGAGAGACAGAGAGGAAGATCTTCCGTCCAATGATTCACTCCCCAAGTGAGCGCAATGGCCTATGCTATGCCGGTCCGAAGCCAGGAGCCTCTTCCAGGTCTCCCACACGGGTGCAGGGTCCCAAAGCTTTGGGCCATCCTCGACTGCTTTCCCAGGCCACAGGCAGGGAGCTGGAAGGGAAGTGGGGCTGCCGGGATTAGAACCGGCACTCATATGGGATCCCGGCATGCAAGGCGAGGACCTTAACCACTGCACCATCGTGCCAGGCTCCTACATCTACTTATTTTTAACAAATGCTTGTCTATCTGTTTTGTTTGAGAGGTATGGAGATGGACAGATAGGCGCGCGCACACACACACACACACACACACACACACACACACACACACACACACTTCCACCTGCTAATTCAGTCCCCTAATGCCTTCAAGAATCATGACAGGGCCAGGCCTAAGTTGGGAGCTAGGAACTTGATCTAGGTCTTCCTCAAAGGTGGTATGTACTTAAGTACTTAGACTGTCACCTGCTGCCTCCTGGGGTGTGCAATAGTAGGAAAGTGGAGTTGGGAGCAGTAATGTGCCTCTGGCCTAGGTGGGTGTCCCATGGGCATCCGAATCTGTGAGTCAAACAGCTGCTCTGTGTGTCTACTTCTTTTGTAGTTCTCTTTTGCATTACTCCAACCTGACTTTTGTACCTGTTATTCCATGGAAGTGACTTTTGTCAAGATCCTCAATGCCTGGTCAGTGTCAAAGCCAGAGCTGGATTTCATCTTTTGCTGAGACACTTAGGAATGCTTTGTTAGTGTTTGCCTTCCTTGCTATCAAACCCTTTGGGGCATCTCCTCTCACCTCTTTGGGACCTCTGCTTCTCTTGCTGGATCTGTCTCTGCTGGCCAGCTTCCTCATGGTGGATTCCCCAGGGCTGGCCTGGACCATGCTTTTTCGTTTGATGATCTCAGCTCCTCTGAGGGTTTTAATATTATCTCTATGTTGTAGCTTCCAACATTTGGATGCCATAAGCCTGGCCGTCGCACTGTGAATATGGGTTCTTTTTGTTGCTCTTAGTTCCCATTTTCAGTCCTGAGGACCTCTTGCCGCTCTCCCAGTCTGCTTTGCCACTCACTCTTGGAGCTCAGCGGGCACGTATCTGCCTCAAAGGTTTTGCTCTGGCTGTTCTCTGCCAGGAATGCTCTTCTGGTAGATATTGACCTAAGTTAATCAAGTGAGCTGATCATTGTTTATGGCTTTTGCTCAAACTTGATCAGAGAGACTTTTCTTCATCTCCCTGTCTAAAACAGCAGAGCCTCGCATCTTCTTTCTTTGACAGCTTTAATCAAAGTTTGGTATTATCTGTCTGTTGGTATAGCTTCTTGTTTGCAGTATCTCTCCTTGAGTGGCATTTGAGTTCTGTGAAGGAGACACAATTGCTCCATCCTTCATATCTGGGACAGCCCCAATTACGTGCTTGAAAACATTTGTGGGGTTGGGCGGGGAGTGGTAGGGCCGTAGCAGCTGAATCCACTGCCTTTGGCACCTGCGGCTCATATAGATGCCAGTTCGTTTCTTGGTTGCTTCACTTCTAATCCAGTTTTGCTGCTTTCAGTCTAGTAAAGCAGTGGAAGGTGGCTCAAGGCTTTGGGCCCCTGTTCCCATGTGGGAGACCTGGTGGACGCATATGGCTTCGGATCTGTTTAGTTTCAGCCTTTGCAGTCATCTGGGGAAGTGAAGCAGGAGATGGAAGCCCTCTTTCTCTCTGCCTCTCCTCCTCTCTCTGTGAAGTCTGCCTTTCCATTAAAAAATAAATTAAAAAAATATTTATTGGGCCTGGTGTTGTAGCCTAGTGGCTAAAGTCCTCACCTTGCATGTGCCAGGACCCCATATGGGCGCCGGTTCTAATTCTGGCCACACTGCTTCCCATCCAACTCCCTGCTTGTGGCCTGGGAAAGCAGTCGAGGACAGCCCAAAGCCTTGGGACCCAATACACGAGTCCCGGAAGAGGCTCCTGGCTTCGGATCAGCTTAGCACCAGCTATTGCGGTCACTTGGGGAGTGAATCATTGGACGGAAGATATTCCTCTCTGTCTCTCCTCTCTGTAAATCTTACTTTCCAATAAAAATAAGTAAATCTTTAAAAAAGTATTTGTCAGGCTTTTGGAATAGCGACAGGTATTAAATTCTACAAGATTAAGGGACACAGAATGCACGAAGGTGAAAGTAATGCTTTTAAAGTTAAAGAAACTCTTCTGTAAAAGAAAAGGGCTTGTGTGGGGAAAGCTGTTTAAAAGTGGAAAAGAAATGCCTTGAGTCTGTCCTTCTTTCTCTAAAACCTACAGGGGAAGTTCCCTATTTCCCTAACTACTGTGTGCAGAATTAAGGGTGAGACCCAAAGAAAGGCTTCTGCTGATGAACACCTTAGGAACCTCAAAAGGGCATCCCTAGTGGGAGGGGCTGGAAATTGAAAATTGGCAAGCCTAATGACATTGGGACCGTACACCTCCCTCCAGGCATTCCTCTTGAAGAACTGAAGAGGCACATTGGGAGTGCTAGCCCTCTCGGCGAAGGTGGTGGTTGTTTCCTCAAGGATTGCTTTTCTGGTGTCCTCCAGAAATGTCCCCTCTCCCATTCAGCATGGACTTGGCAGTGTCGATGCTGTTGCTGCTTGCTCCCAGGGAGAACAGGATCCAAGAGTGGCCTTAACTGTCTACCGTTTAACACTGCTCTGCGGTCTACTCACTACTGTGGGATGAGAGAAAGAAGATTTTGATATATAAAGGGTGGGAACAGTTCCTTAAGTTTGGTTGCTACCTCAGTGTGCTTTCCAAGTGCTAAGCCTTCAGTGGTTCCCAGAGACTAGGAAAGAGATGTTTTGTTTTTAATTGTTTATTTATTTGAAAGGCAGAGAGAATGAGAGAGAAAATTGTAGGACTTGTATCCTCTAGTTCATTCCCTAAATGGTCAGGATAGCCAGGTTTGGGCCAGGTCACATTCAGGAGGCTACAATTCTCTATCCGGGTCTCTCACATGGGTGGAAGAACACGAAGCATTGGGCCATCCTTGGCTGCCTTCCTAGGTGTATTAGCAGGGAGTTGGATCAGAAATGGAGCAGCCAGGACTTTAGCTGACATTCTGATATGGGATGCCAGTGATGCAAGCTGTGGCTTAACCCAGTGTCCCACAGTGCTGGCCAAAAAGGGATACTTTCTACCCTGGTGAGTGTAGATATGACTTTAGTAGCAGCATTATTACTTGTTTTTTTGACTCTCAAGAAACTACATAATACTTAGCTGATATAACTTTGGGTACATAATCTTGCAGAAATTCATATTGTGTAACTTTGGCTATAAAATATGTTTGAAAAGGTCAAGCATGATTATTTTGTAGCCTTAAGATCATTCCAGAGATTCCTTTATTCCTGTATTCGTTTGCTCACTGTATCAGTTCATGTTTTCCTTTGATTTCTTTTTCCCTAGAGATAGATGAAGAGGAGGATGAAGAAGATGAAGATGAAGAAGATGAAGAAGAAGAAGATGAGGAGGAAGATGAGGATGATAAAGATGCAGACTCCCTGGATGAGAGCTTGGATGGTGACACAGAGCTACCCGTGTTCACTGTCCCCGGCGTCACGTCCCAGGAACCTGGCTTAGAGCAGGACAACATGGGCCCGATGGAGGGAGCCACCTACCAAGTGCCAGATGCCATCGAGTGGAGACAGCAGAATCAAGGGCTGGGTAGGTCATGCCTGGCTCCCTTTCCCTCCTCTTCCCTTTTACAAGATGACATCTGTCTTTTGTTGGTCTTTGTCATGGAGCAGAATGGATTTTCTGCATATAGGTGTTCACTTAGGGAAGAGTTACTGATCATCTCTATGATAAGTTTGTGTCTGTTCTCTTAATAGCCAGGCCCCTGTCTCCAGCTGCCCGTCACAAGCTTGGTTAGTTTGTTTTGGATGGCATTTCACTTTTCCTTCCCAGTTGGAAGGCAATGATGGGCTTCAGGAGGTCTTCCAAACAGGGAGAGCATGTGTGTAACTGGCCCATGGAGTAGGCAGTAGCCATGGACTGGAGGCAGAAAACCAAAGTACTTGACACCTGTCCAAGTAGGATTTGTTCTGTATAGGAGGTCCCTCCCTCACTTCCAGATGGCATTGGGGAAGTCCAGGGCCTTCTCTGTTCATTGTCAGATACAGTCCATTCCTGCAGTCAGAGCAGGCAGACAGCCCCGTACTTTCTTCTGTGCATGGCCCACATTCACAGGTACTGCTGGGAAACTCAGCTTGGCATGCCTCTTCCTGCCCGTGGGGCAACTCCTTGATCTGTCCCTCCCCTGTGTCAGGGGGAGCCCATGTTAAGTACTGAGTACCTGTGGCTTCACTCACTTGGCCTTAGCTGAAGTGACCTCTTCGCCACAGAAAGCCCACCTCTCAAATCCTGCGTTTGTTGTGCTTGGCCTGTTTATATCCTCGTTGTGACAGGTGTTAATTTAATTTTGTTGAGTCAGTACTTCACATGACGGGTTAGGAAGATTGCATTTGTAGCAAGCATGTACACTTTTTGTTGCTATGATTCCTTTATCAGTGCAGTGTAATAACTAGTTGCCTTGCATTTACAGCATCTTAGGTTTTAAAAAAGTAATCTAGAGATGAGTTAAAACAAAGCACATGGAAAAATATCTGTAGGGTCTGTGCAAATTCTACAGTGATTCATATAAGGGACTTGAACATTTGTAGATTTCAATGTCCAGAAATTGGTCCTGAAACCAATTACTGGATAGCTAGAAATGACTGTAACCAGTTTTGGGAGTATTGTACTAAAAATGTGGATATTGGTCTGGGACTTTGCTCTCGATATAATTGGGAGAGTATCGGGCTATAGGTTGGCATAAAGGTTGCAGTTGGGAAGCAGCTGGGTTTTCTGGTGGATAGGCATTTTATACAGAAAGGAGATGAAACAGGATGAGACAGGTTAGAATGTTACTAATGCCAATCGTATTTACTGATTTGTTTTTTTTTTAAACAAATTCAGCACGTACTGGCAATAATATCCTTTGAAAACATCTAATAAAGCTGATCAAAGCTTATAAGCTATGCTATTTTCATACCTTAAAAGAAACACAAAGTACCATATCCTTGTCACAAACACGAAATAACCTGAGCATTGATCTGTGAATAATGTAGGAAATAGTGTCCAAATTACTCCTGTATTACGCAGACAAGTTTGAAATAAAATAAAGAACATCTAATACAAAGAGGGTTAAAATGTAATACAAAGAAAGAGGGTTAAAACTCCTGGGTGGTGCTTTTATTATGTAGAAGTATGCGGTACAATGAAATAGTCTTGTTTCATTGTGAGTGGAGTGACTGAGAGGGTCACACACTGAGAGAGACAGAGAGAGAGAGAGAGAGAGAGAGGATGGGAAAGAGAAAGAGAGAAGGAGGGAGAGAGACAGAGAGAAGGAGGGAGAGAAAGAAAAAGAGAAAATTTCTTTCATTCATAGTTCACTCCCACATTCCCACAACAGCCATGGCTGAAGCCAGGAGCCAGGAGTTCCATCCAGGTCTCCCATGTGGGTGACAGGAACTCAAATGCTTGAGCCATTGTCTGCTACCTCCCAGCCATGTTAGCAGGGAGCTGTGTTGGAAACAGAGAAGGTAGGACTCCAGATGTGAAATGCCTGTATCACAGGTGGCAGCTTAACCACATACCAGCTCTCCCTTTTTAATGTAATCTTTTTTCTTTCATGATAATTTACTGTTTCCAGGTGCCTGTTACCTTTTTCTTCCATTTGTTTTCCCCAGAGAATTTATTTTGTGAAGATGTTTTTTTTAGCATTGTCACTTGCCTGGAAACCAAAGCAAGGGAAAAAAAAATCTTTCAATCTGTTCTTTTCCCCACTGTATTAGACTGAGTGGTTCCTGGATCTAAAATTTTATTTACCAACTAACCTTCTTTGGAGGGGCAGGAGAATATTCTAGTATCACAAAATCAGTAACAATATCTGGTTGAATATCCATGGAACAGTTTCCTAAATACTTGCAGGTTAAGTGAAATAGCAGAAAATCTCCCTCAACTATGATGGATTTTCAGTAGACAGAGAAATGACTCCTTCAGCTATTCATGTCCTACTCTGTGGAACTTGTGTATGTTTGGCTGATGTGAGTAAGTGAAAGAGCTCAGGTTGTGGATGGAAAGCCCCCTGTCATCAATGCCTGTATCACAAAGGATCTTAGAAGAGGGAGGTATAGGGCTAGAGTTCGAGAAGCGGATGTGATGATCGAAGTGGAGGGCCCAGTGGTGGGGCCCTGAGCCAAGGAATTCTGGTAGAGCAGCTGGGAAAGAAAAAATATATGTATATTCTCCATGGGACCTTGAAGGAGCACAACCCTGCCATCCTGGATTTGAGCCGTTGGGAGTCCTTGCTGTCATTTGAGATCAAGAGCGGTACGATAGTGTGTTTGTGGTGTTATAAGCCACTGTCTTCATGCCCAGTGGGTCTGCAGTGACAGGGGAGGCATGCAGATTTCCCGAGGTACTTAATGAGCTGTGTTGGTTTGGAAACAGAGGTGCATGACCACTATTACAGCATGGACATGATGAAATGCAGTGTGATTTCTTCCTTAATGAAGCAGTGGAAATATCCACTTCGAAACCTGTTAAAAAGTCATCTTACTTAATATGATAATACTTTAATTGGACATCTGCTTTCTTCCTCTTTTTGAATGGGTGATTTTATTTGCAGTTGGTCATATCCTTTTTATATAACATGAGTGATATTCCAAGACAAATGCTAAAACCCATGTAAAAATTTTTCAATGGACACATTGAGTTGGGTGGTTGGGATGGATTCAATATGATGCAGACACTGAATAGGTCGTGGTCTCTTCTACTGTGAAGTAACAGAGCAGAGAAAGCCAATGACGTATGAGCAGAGCACCAGCAGTAGGGGCTTCGAATTTTCTGAGCTTCTGCCTTTGTCACTGTCTCATACATTTTGCTGCAACGGGAGAGAGCTCAGTTTCTTGGTCATCCCATGGGAAAGTGTTGGTGTGGAGTGAGGTATGTGGTGTCGGCAGAGAATCGGGATGGAAGATGCATGTGGTGATTGAGGTGGATTGGCTGACCTGAAGTGCTGATGGCACAGAGGGACCCTCTAGTCAAACAGGCAGGTTCAATATACTCTTGGATTGAATAGGTTCATGTTCAGATTTGGGAGTGAGAACCTGTACAGACATTTGATTTTTTTTTTCTGTTTATTAGAGAGGTAGAGAAAAGGTTGGAGTGAGAAAGAAGGTTGATGGTGTCCAAATCCCAAATGTCTACAGAAGCTGGACATGGCATGTATGGGGGCTCACTGCAGCTCTCCCATATGGGTACAGGACCCAAGTGCCTTGAGCCATTATCTGCTGTTGTCTAGAGTGCACACTCATGGGACACTGGTGTCAAGAATGTATCTGGGTCTCAAATGCAGGCACTGATGGGATATGGGGGTTCTGAGTGAGTCTTAATTGCTGTGCCAAATGTCTGTCCCAAGAGAACAGATATTGTGACTCAAACCCATGTCATATCCCATTTCTAAAATCAATCACTCGGCTCTCATTTTTAACATATAAAATCAATAGGACAACAGTCCAATTTCAGTGTTCCAGATACTACCAATGTAATCAATATGGCGATGCTTTCCTTTTTAGTTTCTGTATTTGTTAGTTTGCCTTCAACTGTTGGAAATGGGAACTCTAAAAAATGAATTTATAGAGTAAAAAGATGAATTTTCTCTTGAAACAAGAAGTCCTGCAACAAAGCTCCCCATATCTGCTGACTCTACAGCTCAGGGGGCATCCAGAACCCAGGTGGTTTTTTAGCTTTCTGCACTGTGGGCCTTGACTTTGCTTTCGGACAGGACAGCAGCTACATGGTTGAGATGCTTCATGCAGACAAGACATTGTTGGCCTAGAAGAGCTGGCTGTCATGTCCCCTCTGTACATCTGGGCATGCTGTTACTGCACAGGCGTCAGCAACTGAGGAGGCCCAGGAGTATCAAGGTGGGGACCACATATGTTGTAAATTTTTCCTGTAGCTGAGTTTTGAGTATAGCACTCCAATTGGGGAGTCCCTCAAGTAACCTCGCTTGGGCTGACCTCAGACTTGACACTTGTGTGCACCAGCCAGTGCAGGGTCAGGTTTGGTCAGTCAGCCACACCAGCTAGCGCACGTACTGGTGGATGCAGCTTCCTGATTAGTTCTATCTGCAGTCCCATCTCTTATATGAACCAGTGGGGGCTGTGGCCTAGTTCAGCCCAGCCCATCACTGGACTGGTCCTCATGGACACTGGCACGTGCTGCAGCCTAACAGGGTGACTGCTGAGAACCTCCACCAGGCCTACCCCAGCTCTGGGTTTTGCAAATGCTGACCTGTAACTGTGACCTAGTCCAGTCTGTCTCATATCCCATCTGGCTCTCATGCTCACTCTTGGATGCTGCAGCTCAGCCCAGCCTGCCCTGCCCGCAAATCCAGCCAGTGTGCATGCCTCTGGGTGCTGCCGCCTTGCCCGACTTGATCTGCAACCAGCCCCGACTCTTGTGCTCGTCAGTGGGAGCTGCAGCATAGTAGAACATTGCCTATGGTTTCCCTAACAGGCTCCCTCCAAACACTGAATCTTGCATTTGCCCGGAGTATGATTGTCCAGCCTGACACGACTTACACCTAGTCCTGGCACTTGCCAGCCAATGCTATA